CAGTCTTCGGGACGCGCCAGCCCCTACCCGGGGAGGCGGGGCGGGGCGGTTCTGGGGGGGGGGGGCGGGCGGGTCCGGGGGCGCCGGGGCCTCTTGAGGAGGATGGGCTCGCGGGGAGGGCCGCGCCCAGTCTTTTTTCGAGGGGGCGTCCGGCGGAAGCGGCAGGCAAAGCTCGGGCTTCTCTCGGGCCGGCGGCGGCGGCGGCGGCATCTCCCTCCCCCACCTCGCTCTGCCCTCCGGCCCTGCCCGCCCTGGCTGCGTCCTTTCTGGCCTCTGCTGTGAGGGTCAGCTTCCGGCCTGTCTAGCCCGGCCGCTGCCCTCCCCCTCCCCGGAGCTCCGCTGACACCTCCAGCCAAGCTCGCGTCGGGTTCCCGCGAGCGGCTTCCCCGGGGCTTGGCCGGCGAACAAGGCCCGAGGCTCTCCTAAGGCCGGCAGCGGCCCAGGTGACAAAGAGCGGCCGACGGATCCCGCGGAGAAGCAGTTAGAGGAGCGGCCCCTCCGGTGGGCTGTATGGGACCCCGGCTGGCCGGCTAGGATGCTTTCTCTGCCTCTCGAGGGTCTCTCGCCCGCAGGAAAGCCCCTTGAAGGAGGAGGGAGTGAAAAGGCCGGGAAAAGCAGCTGCTTCTCCAGAGGAAGATGGTGGGCAGGAGAGGAAAACGGGGGTCCTGAGACCCCAGGAGGAAAACTGCAAAGAACGATTGAAAGGGAAAAATCGGTTTGGGAAAGACCAACCAGGCCTCTCCGGGCAGAACTGAATGGAAACCAAACGCTACCAAGCTCCCCTGTCTGTCACCTTGAACCAGGCTGTAGGGTGGTGCCTCCTCCTGCAACATTTTTGAACCAGGGTTAGTCTCAAGTGGGCTAATTTTACCACATGCATCCAAAATTTGGGAGCCATGGAGTTGAAAAATGTTACAAAACTTTCTATGAATAGTACAAAATGTTGTAAAACATTTTCTGTGATCGATTCCTGATGTGTCATGACTAGTTCAACGTGGAGGACTTTTAAGGCAGCCACATCTCTGAACATCTCCCTAATCCTGAATTTCTAAGACCTTTTCTAGTCCAGTCGCAGCTCTGCCCTTTCTGAAGGGATTGGGGAGTCTGTCAAGGAAACCCCTGGAAGGGTGGCGGTGGGTGAAGGGGGGTGGGTGGGTTGCCCAGTAAAGAAGAAGAAAAGGGATCTGGGCTGAGGATGGAATGCACGAGATGCTTGTACCAGAATAATAGAGTGGAATCCAAGCAAATGTTAGTCTCTCAAGAAAAAAGATGCATGGAAGGAAGTTCTGAATGCTAAAAAAAAATGTTGAAAAACTATCAGACTGAGGATGCTGTAACTAGACTAATGTTTAAAAGGGTGTGAGTCACTTATGCACTGCCGTGGCAACTTGTCTAACTCTGTGGCTCTAGCCGTGCCTGGCAATTAGAATAATGCAAGGAATTTTCCTTTTCTATAATGGAACAGTAACTAGAATGAATGCAAAGCCTAAATGGAGATGTGTTTGTCTTGTGAGCCCACAAAGACCTTCAGCAAAATTCCAGCTGAAGGATATCACGATTGAAATGAGAGTACAATATGCCAGGCTGGTAGTGTGCAGACCATGGAATCATAGATTCTTAGTCCTGGAGGGGACCTTGGAGGTCTTCTAGCCCAAGGCAGGATCCTTATATCATCCCAGACAAAGGGCTGATCAATCTTTCCTTGAAAACCTCCAGTGACAGAGTACCCAAATTTCTCCATATTTCCAGGCTGAATCTGAATCTCTCTCTCTCTCTCCCTCCCTCTCTCTCCAGCTTCCACCTGCCCTCAGGGACTATGAAGAATAAATCCAGGCCCTCTGACAGCCCTTCAGTGGTATGTGAAGACGGCTATCATGACTGGATTTTTGCTCTTCAGTAAGCAGTGTGAAAGAGGAAAGTTTACTGTTCTATTGATTTAGAGAAGAAGTCAACGACTTGCAACCTGCAGGCCCAATTCAGCCCACCGCCTGTTCTTGTATGTCTGCAAGCCAAAAACAGACTGGTGGGGAGCAGATGGCTAGGCCTTGGGGCAGTGGCAGCCTATCAGCAGTCTCCCGGATGGCTGATGCATTTCTTAGCTTGGAGACCTGCCAGCCCAGCCGTGCCCACAGGTGAAGAGGGATGGGATCTGTCTGGAGGAGGAAAAGCTTGCTGACAAACCCCCCCCCCCCACACACACTTAAGAGGAGCAGGTGGCGGCTGTTCCCAGGATGACGGGGGGCCTCCTTGCCCCTCAGCTTTACAGCAAGTCCCTCATGAGAAGCAAGCTTGGAAGCTAGCAGGGAGCCAGAATGGGTGCCCAAGCTGTGAGCAGACCTAACCCCCTCCTCCTGCCAAAGAGTAGCTGGGGGGGTGTGTGTCTCTTTATGGCTCCCTTCCAGGGACCCTCCTCCAGGATCAGGTGCCCCAAGAGCCTAATTGAGGCCTGCCTAGTTGGGGGTAGCTGGGGTTTCTTTGGGGTGGGCCTGGCCCCTTCTTGTTCCAAGAGTTTTGGGAGTAGAATGCTGGCTGTCCCAAAGGAGTTTTTTTTTTAAAGGCAACTGGACTTATGCTCTTTTCTTGAAGAGGTTTCACTGCTCTTCCCAGAAGCATCTTTAGTTCTGGAAAAGCCCCTCTGGGACTACCAGGACCTGGAGGACTATGGAGACTCTCCATAGACATTTAGCTGTGCCTGGCTGGCTGGCCTGTCCCTGCCTTCCCCTCCTCCAACCTCCATTAGTACTTTAATTTCACCGTGGGGGTGGGGGATGGGGTGGGGGTTCCATTTGTGCTCTTAGGTTGCCCGATTCTTGTGCTGTTCATAAATGAATTGCGTTGATCCAGGAAGGCTTTGCACAAACAGGGCGGAAGGTTGAATGCTCAAAATTGTGAGTGGAATCATGGGGGGGGGGGGAAGCAGATGCAAAATTGAAGGGATTCAGGAATTGCACCCAGGAAAACAAGGTGCGATGTTTGACATCTTGATGGATAAGCACACAGGCTTGTGGTGACTGTAGAAATGTGTTAGTTATGAATGGGCATTTCCACATGGGCAGTGTCCTGTTTTGGCTAAGAATCCGGCATGCAATAAAGGTTAAATTTCTGACACAAACAGGAATTTGGATCTGAAGATAATTCTAAAGAAAAGTTGTGTTTAACACAGAAAAGGGGAGGTGTCCCCCCACATGATACATCAACAATTAAAATTCACAAGTAGATGAATTTGTGCACTTTGTTCGTTAATGGTGAAATGTTGTGCTGTGTGTTGTGAAGCACAAGTGTTGTGAGAAGCAAAAATGCTGCAGTTAACCTCTGAATTCTGGGGATTTCGGGCTGCTAACATGCCTGCGCTGCTCAAGGGGGGGGGGATGGACGGCGTTGAGAGGCGGAAGTGACTGGCTTCTGGGCGAGAGTGGAGGAGGATTAAATCCCAAAACACAAACCCTGGGAGGACTGAGGAAGCCTCGGCTGCACTAGAGGCCCCTTGGAGGTCATGTAGTCCCAACGCCCTGCTCCAAGAGGATTCCCTGTACCGTTCTCGATGGCTGCCCAGTCTCTTCTTAAAACCTCCAAGGCTGGAGCACCCACCACCTCCGGAGGGGAGCCGTCCCACTGAGTCTTCTCCCTGACAGAAATGCCTCCATCCCAAACAGGTTCTCTCCTTGGCTGGCTCCCATCCAAGACAGTCAGTCAAAGGGAACCTACAAAGTTCTTCTTCTTCTTCTTCGCAGTGGTCAGAGCAAGGATGGTGTGCAAGACTGGGGTGGGGATAAACAGAGGGCACTGCAGCTGTGGCCCCTTATTATTAAACCACACCTGATTTCTTTAGCTTGCTCTCTTCCTTTTCACCCACCCAGAAGGAAACTCCGGGACTGAGACCCTCCTAGGAAGCAGCCTGTGACCTCATGATTAACAGCCCACTTCCCCCCCCAGTCCCAATTGGGTGCAGAAGAGGAATTGAAGGCCTCTTCAGACGGTGGGCGACGTAGGCCAGAAAGGCAGCAGAATTCTTCACTTGGGAAAGAGAAAAGGGGGGGGGGGCGCCAGAGGCGAGAGGGATCCGTTCTGATCCCGCAGGACGAAGACAGGCAGGGTTGCTGGCTGCATTCAGTGCCTGAGGCTGCAACGGGGCACCGGAAGTAAAAGTGAAACAGCCGTTGTGCTTACACACACACACACACACACAGCGCTGGACCTGCCCTGGGAGGTTTCAGGGTGCCGTTTATGATTGACCTCTTGGGTTGAGGCCCCAGGAAGGGCATCAGAGCAGGACCTCAGCCTGGCACTCTGCCAAGGCAGCCCAGGGTAGACAGTTTGGCAGCAGACGGCTGGCAGAGAAACCACCTCAGGCAAAGGGGGGGGGGGCTCCATGCACAACTTGAGACCCGCCCCCTCCTCCCTGGCAGCTGGGAGTCAGGCTCCGACAGCAGCATCCTCGCCCTCCCTCCCTCCCTCCCTCCCTGGCTGGTTGTAAAACAATGGGGGGGGGGCTTAGCCAAGCCCCCACCCCCACCAGCAGGCAGGACTGTGAGCTCTGCCCCTCTTGTGCTAGCCAGGGTGGCACCAGATGGCAGAACTGCCCGCCCTTTCCTGGGTCGTCCCCCCCCCCCCGGTGCCATTCCCCGCTTGGGCCAAGGGAAGCCCCGGGCTCCGCAAAGAGACATCTGCAGCCATTTGGTACCATTTATTGGGGAATCTTTACAGACGTGGTGGGGGCTGGAGTGTCGGTCGGGGCCGGCTGGGTGGAAGGCCGGAGTTTGCCGCCCGCAGCCCCCATAGGGAACACAATATGGGACACTGGCCATGATGAACGCACACATCACACACACGCACGCACACCCTCCCAGGGGCCGGAGCCAGGAAGTGTTTGGTCCCTGGCCCCCCAAATAGGGGGCCAATCTCACATCTTGGGCACCTCCAGAGCAGCCCCGGCACGTCCAACCCGGCCGACCCATAGCTGCCTTCCTTGAAGGTCCCGTGGGGCAGGATGGAGAGGAGGTTCCTCAGGGAGAACAGGCCGAGGGGGGGAGGAGGCCCAAGACCGGGGACGGCCAGCCAGGGGTGGCTGGCATCGGGTCGGGCCTGGCCCTCAGCAGAGACCCTTGACTGGGGACCGACGGGGGCGCCCTTCCCCCCACCCTCGGAGTAAGAAAGTGCTTGCTGCTTCCGGGCATTGCGGAGGGAGGGACGGGGCGGCTCGGCTGCCCCAGCTCTCCCCGCCCCCCCCGGAATGGGAAGCCCCCGAAGGGCACCAGAGGGGAGGGCGCCCCACGGCAGGGCCCTCCCTCCGAGTCCAAGTCTGTGAAGGGCGGGAGGGGCGCGGCGGGAGGGGGGGCGACGACCCCCCCTGCTCACTGCTCCTCCAGCCAGGAGGGCTTGTCGGCCCCGGGGCTCTTGAGCTTGATGTTGAACTGTTTCAAGGTCTGCTCCAGCTGCTGCTGGTTGCCAGCGAAGTAGGCCGAGATGGCGTTGTGGAAGAGCAGAAGCTGCTTGTGCATCACCTTCACCTGGGGAGGGGGAGGGGGGTGCAGAGATCAGTGTCCGCCTGGCAGCCGCGCCCCCACCTCCTCCTCCTCCTCCCCCCCCTCCTCCGCCGGCCAGGCTCACCTTGTTCTCTTCCAGGAACTTCAGCTTGACGGCCACGTCCGCCCGCAGCTTCTCGTACTTGGCGCGGTGGGCCTGGAAGTTGGCCTGGGCAGCATCCAAGCGGCAGAGCGTGTTGGCATCCCGTGGCCCCAGGCTGAGCTCCTCCAGGTCTGTGCGGTAAGCGTCGTACTCCAGCCTGCACCAGGGGTGGGTGGGTGGGTGTGGCGGGTCAGAGGAGCCACGGCAGCCCTGACCGACCGACCGACCGACCGGTTTCCCCCGGGAAGGACCCACCTGGCCGTCTCGTACTGCTTGACCGTCATGAGGGTGTCCTCCATGGTTTTGTTGACCAGGGTGTTGATGCTGGAGACAAAGAAGTTGACGGCTCCCAGCAGGGTCTCCCCGTTCTTGCAGAGCAGCTTCTGAGTCTCGGCGTTGTATCCGAACTCCTCCTGCAAGTGGGGGGAGGGACAGAGGAGATCGAGGAAGCTCCTCCCCCACCTGGGACCCCCCCCTCCCACTTCCCCTGCCAGGGAAGGGCAGCCGCACCTGCTCTGCCTCAAAAGGAGGGCTGCCCCCTGCTTTACAATGGGGGTGAAGCTCTTGACCCCCCCCCCCTCTGGGTGCTTTGGAGGGGAGGAAGTTGCCCCCCCCTCCTCCTCCTCCTCCACAGTCCCTTTTAGCCTTCCCACCTCGCACATCCCCCTCAGCCATGCCCTTCCCCGGGCCTTATCTCCATGTTGGAAGCCTGGCTCTGCCCTCCCTGAGAGACGCCACTTGGGGGGTGTGGGGGGTGGAAGAAGAGCCCACCGGCTGCCTCCTCCTCCTCCTCTTGGGAACAGCAGCTCCCTCACTTCCTCAGAGCAAGTGGTCCCCTCCCAGAGCCAAAAGCTTCACTCCCATCCCTGCAGGGAGTGAGTCAGCCTTCTGAAAGGCCACAGG